ATGAAATAACTTTCCAATTTTTTGCACATTTCACTTGAGCTTCTCAAACATAGTAGGGGTATTAAAGGTGACATGTTTTAAGTAGGAAACATTGCATTATGATGAATTTTTTTCCAGAAATAAGTTCATGAAAATGACATGTTTTCATGTCACAACTTTCACCCTCAAAATCGCTGAGACATCGGTAGTAAAACTCTCACAAAAAAAAAAATATGAAGAACAAGTTTCTGTTTTCATGTTTATTTATTATGTACTACATTACTCTTCAATATAACATACTTTTATTTTTCTAAAACTCCATTTAAATTTGAGTAAATAGCTTCTAAACATTCAAACACATGAAAATGCTGAAAAGACCCAACCCGATGGAATGACCCATATTGCAAAGTCATTAAGTCAAGTATAAAGATAAACAAAAAATGTACATTAGCAAAGGTAAGAATTTACTAGGTCAAACAAGACTTGAACTTTATATATATATATATATATGTGATTATAAATGTATATGATTATTTAAACAAATTGCATAGGGGGGGGGGGTAATTTGTTGGAATCATGGGGGGGGGGGGGGGGGGTAATTTGTTGGGATCATGGGAGGGGGGAGGGGTAATTTGTTGGGATCATGGGGGGATTTCAAGTGTGTACATGTACATGTGTGAACCCTCCATTCTTGACATTCCTTGATCCATTATGAACTTTTATTTTTTTCTTTTTCTTTTTAAAGTTTTTTTTTTTACTTGTTTTTTATAACAAAAAAATACAATGCTCAATGAGCATGTAAATGTACAGTATGTTGTATCTTTGTTCCTATCAGAAGTAACTAGATAGATGTTTTTATCTTGCAATGAGTCTGATGAGTGTGAAGTTGTGATGTACTTTGTATTATTAACTGACAACACTATAAACTCTACATTTACTATATGGTGAGCGACTGATGACAAGGATTCAAATATAAGGAACGTTTGCCCTGCAAAGTACATTTTGATTCTGTGAGAAAATTTGTGTCTTTTAAAACCAAGCTGACCAAACAATTCCCAGGTATTAGAACTGTCACAAGTTATGAATGTGTCTGCATGCTCACTAGTTCACTAGTTTAATTCAATAAGATTATTCCTTTTATACGTATAAATACATGTACATGTACATGTACATGTAGTTGAAGCACACTGTGTTGGTTACATCACTAGTTCTATTAATCATGCACGGGCAACAATTACTCCTTGACCTTGTCAATATCCTGCATTGATCGCATGATTTACTTCAACCCTAGATACTGTACCTAGATGTAACCCTAACCTTAAACCCATTCTGCAATCGTATCATAAATCCTATATATCTGACAAAACAGAGCCTGGAGCAGTACTACTGTAGTACTAGTAGTTGCCAGGGCATTATGCCGGAGAACCATACCAGTCACAGAAATTTATGTAGTCCCAGCCTATTCATGAACATTTTCTGTTGATATGTGCCTTTTATTTTGTATTGCCGTGCTTACAATATATGCATATGCATGCAACTACAAATGTTATGTAATAGTAATACGAGATAATCATTACATCAGTTGTTTTGAATAAAGAGTATCATTGGTGACCTTTGATGTAAAGCGTAAATCTTTGTGTTACCTTTTAATGAAAATTGAACTTCAAACGGATTCTGAGATAACAGTGTATGAAAAAAAGTATTGACATAGCTGATAAAAGGTAAACATGTTAATCTCGAAATTTCTTACCCAACCTGGAAAGAATATGACTGGTAAAAAATCCTTCGAAATATATTGAAGAGATAAAGAGACTTCAAAAGATAAAGCCGATAATATTTGTTCATGTAAATATTGACATCGTCTTGTGTTCTCAAGTTCGTGATGAGTGATTACAGCGATAAGTTTGATTTTATGAAACAAACTACATGTAATCTTGAAACATCTTAATCCACATATGAATTAAGTAATGTTGGGATTTTGCAAGTGGAAAATCTTGACTTTTATCAACCCATTAAAAAAAAAAAAAAAATCTTATTCGGACGTCTCGTTGCTCACAATTTCCCGTTTCTAAATATTGCAAGCAAAGGATTAGGCAAAAAAGGAAGATGTTGTATTGTCCTTTGCGACTAACCCCCCCCCCCCCCAATAAACAAAAAAATCTTGAAATATACGGTCGGCTTTTTAAATTTGTTTTCTTTCTTTTTTTACCGTTTTTAGGGAAAAAAAATGTATTAAAGCATTCAAAACTGATAAATATCAGCCCAAAGAATGACTATTTTTGAAAAAGATTTCCGACCGACCCATGTTTTGGGACCTAAATGGCAATACAACATCTTTTTTGAAGGCCTTACCGTAGAAGACTCTCACATCCTCGTTTACATCCATGGTTGAAAGGTACTTCTACGACGCTAATGACGTCATGGATGACATGTGATTTGACCCTGAGCGTGTGTCCCCGCTTTGAACTTCGGAGAAATGAGAAAGTCTATTCCTTCGCAAAGTGTCTTTTTATATCAATCCAAAATTGAAAATGCCGTATAAGAATCGCACAACTAATGCATGTAGTAAATTGTCTTGTACAAAATATGCCCAGCTTTATCCCAGCTCTTTGTATCATGTGTGTGACTGCTTGTGTGTCTCTCCAGGGCACCTCCCTGATATCTCTCTTCTTTCTGTCTATTATTGTTTACAGTGCACTACTTAAAACAAAAAACGAGAGACAAATATTAGGTCTACTTCCGTGAGCGACCGGATTTTACACTAGCAACGTGTGAAATATTCATGCTGGGTGTGCATGACTTTACATACATATGGAGCATCGGACATTGCAAAGCACGGTGACACAGATTAATGTACATGCTGTATGAAGGATGAACCTCGATGCCTTATTGGTGACGTAGTCCCTGACAACATAGTATCATCAAATAGCCTCAATGAACAGACAGGGTGATTTTGATGTTGGGATTTGGGATCTACTATCCACTCATCATCCCCAGGGCCATTGCTCAGCGGTGTAGAATATGAGTATAAAATAATTGGGGGGGGGGGGGCTGATGGGAATGACGCCCCCATCCAATCACCAGCCCCGACCCCCACTAGTATAACACCCACGGGTATATGCGCATACATGTGATGTGAAAACTGAAAAGTGGTGAAGGAAAATTGAAATCGTCAGCCATTGAAATAGTCCTGATTGCCATGACGTGAATGTTACAGTGATATACAGAACGAAACCCTCATAAGCCATCCCCCGAACATATTCTAATATCTAACAGATTGTTTACTTCATACAAAGAAGGGGGAAACAGAGACGTGTTTTGAATCGTAGTAGAACAGTGCTTGATTCTTTGTTAAGAATATAATAGCTCTGACTTTGAACTCGGCCTCACGCGATGTTTATGTTTTTAAATTCACCGATCCGGTACAACAATACCCCTACCGTCTTCCTTTCATGAGGTCGTGACGATGACGTCCATGGCCGAGTTGTCGTGTCTGAATTGATCACCATGTTATTCACCAGCACGTTTACGTGCCTATCTCCACTGTGCATTAAATATTTGTGAGAGGAGCATATATTAATCAATTTGATTATATTGATTTCGCTGTGTGAGCGGTTATATTCATGTACTTGTAAATGTTCAGTATGAGTGAGCTCCCATAATTTGATTACTATGCAGGGATGGGTCCAGATTTGTCAAAAATGGAGGGCAGGTTTTCTTTTCCCGTCAGAAACGATATTGATCCTGGAATATGAAATGTCACAGAGACCCTCCTGCTCTCGTAGATTTCTTTCGGAGGAGGAACCCATTTCCCCTTTCAATTTGTGTGCTGATAATAATTTAAATTAAAAGTTAAAGTGTCATTTTTTTACTCGCTTCGTACACTCGCAAATTTAGATACGAATGTGTTCATGGCACTTGACGAGTGCCAAGTTGATGCAAAATGAATCTTCTGTGAATGAATTTGGGATAGGAACGATGCGAAATTGTATTTCTTAAATGAATGACGTGACTAAAAAAAAGGTTGAAAATCGCGGCACGAGGCAACAACTCGGTCAGTTACACGCCATTCCTACATGTACCTCACGGCGGCTGTAATAAATATATGTGCATGTACTAGGGACAAAGTTCAGATTTTAGCGTAGCCCCTTTATCTAATTCATATATTATAGGTCAAGAACGTTAACACGTAAGCTATTTGGAAATAGATATGGGTTATGACGTCACTGTTTTGCCATTCCATCTATTAATCCGTGTGTAACCCTCAGATTGGTTAACAAGAAGTAGTTTGGATTTTTTTTCGCCGCGCTCGTTTTTATAAATAAATCATTCAACCCCCCCCCCCTCCCAAAAAAAAGGGGGGGTGGTCTGCGATGACCGTGCTTTTACTGGGTTGAATGTACAAAGTACCTAATGCACCAACAAGTATATTGTTTTTTCTGACCACACAATAGGTGGTGTCAGACACAATTTTCCCGATCCATCTTGAATTATCTAGATAATAGCTATCTAGATAATTCACTTAGTACGTAGGTGACAGGTGACAGAAAGGCTACGAATTATCTAGATAATTGGCCTCTGTCTGACATCGCCTAATGATCTCGTGCCTACCTTTCGCAATAGAGTGGGGCACCCGTGTCTCACTTTAATTTGAAGGCATTTTCAAAATGTGTGGGAAGTCACTGAACCACGAAAAAAGAGTAATTCACAGTCGTCCCGATGGATATACATGCACCTGTAAATACATGTATCACATTATGACTGTTGTGTCTGAAGATGTAGGTCAGAGTGAAATACTTTCTTTGTTATGTTATGATCGATGTCTTGCAGTCCCTTTTGTGGTACGATGATAGTGTTTTTATTTGATGTATTGTTTGATCCTTTTTTGTTGTTTATTGGCCATGTACGACCGATCCTTAAATTGTAAAGTTAACTCGAAAGGGTATGAAGTCGTTCTTGAATTATTTTAACCTGACGTTTTGTTTATTAATGTATGTTTATCATTTTCTCCATGCATCCAGACACATCAGGGAAGCGAACAAAGGAGATCCCTCTGATCTAATCGATCCTTCTACCACACACCAACCCTGGTGGTGCACATCCATGGCTGAGCCTATTGCCCAATCAATAATCGAATCATAAATTACTGTTCCACAATGTGATCCTCGCAGGCTACTCGCCATCCCGCAAAGGTCCAACCTACAATAGACAACAGGTCATATCGATTGACAAAAGATCACCACAAGTTGTCATAAACGAGCCGGCTCGCCGGGCCGCACACATGTACATGTATACACAAAACGCGCTTAATAACTTTCGCGCCATTACTGCTTGTGACGGAATACAGTTTGGGATCACTTTGTGTACGTTAGCCATAACGAAATGGGTTAGATTATTGCCCAATGAGATAAGATAACGAGAAGGTGTGTTTCAGCAGTGCTATTTGGAGACAACAGTTGTAAAAGGAGTGCTATATTTGCTGTTCGAGTCTCGTGCGCAATCAGTAGTAAATAAGGAAGTTCGTCGTCCATGCAAGGACAGCAAGGACTGGTTCGGTCAGAACATCTTTGCCGTCGATAGTAATTGAAGGACACATTCATCATGACTAGTTACCGAATGGTGACAGATTTATTTTTGTCTTGTGACATAAACTGCTACATAGTTACAATACCAAACCAGTTTTCCTCCAAAGATAATATACCATTGTAAACTCGGAGATTTCACCATTGCGAATTTCTAGCCAGCTAGCTACACGGACAATTTCTTCCGTCCAGAAAATTCATCCGATTTTTACCTTGATTTGTATAAACATAATGGAAGCGATTCAGCCGTCTTCCCCTGAGAATGCTGTATCATCTCGCGTTGGTGAAGACACGGTACCAAAGCAGCAGACTGTGGGTTCAGAAGAACATACCTTAATAATTCCACCGCAGTCAAAATCCAAATCGCCTGTACCTAGCAGTAGCAACGGTCACAGTCATCATGACACCCGTCCCAGGAGCTCTACCGACGTAAGGCACATACGAAATCATCCTAGGTCCCCAACCAGCCCTGGACCATCGGAGCCACAGCGAAACCAAAGGCTACGGAGTAAATCGCATAGCATCAGTAGTACTAGCAGTGAAAACATGATCTTAGAGGACAGTTTTCCAGAGGACGACAACCGAACGCGTGAGCGGGAGATGTGGGCCATGCTCGCGGGACAGACAGCGTTCAAGTTCGAGTCCTACATCTTCCAGCGTGTGCTTCCAAAGTCGCTCATCAAACCACACATCTTCCCACGCCACGTCGAGGACATGGAAACCCTGATCGAGAAGTACACGGCGACTGGCAAAACGCAACGTCTAGAAGGAGCCGCGGAGAAATGGGCCACTCTAAAAAGCGAGTGGAAGTGGCGAAAGGCCCATGGACTGGTCATGGGCACAGCAAAGTCGGCCTATCTCCACATCTCTAACCCTCTAGAAGTCATGATGAAATTAGATCGGGAGAAAGGGGACAGTCTGGAAGACGCAAGACGAGCCTACCGCAATGTCCTTCCAGCCAACTTGCAAGAACCTGGACAAGAAGTTGTAGACTTGATGCATATGATTGGACTCCTTACAGACAAGTCGTCTCCTCCAAGCCCAAGGTGATTAACGAATCGTCGAGAGGATTTTAATACTGAAAGTGAAGCAATTGTAAGTTGTAACGGGTTATACACATTCAATGGTTGCCGCATTATCTGACAATCCGAACGAAAATCCATTTTCGGGAGCTCAGTGTTTACTTTTTCGGATCCTGTCTTCCAAATTTCTCGTTTGGGCAAACCTTGCTTTTCAAGTCATTAACCTTCCTTTATAATTCTGCATTCTCCCTTTAAAACAATTTAAAAACCCTTTTCATTTCCTTCTCGGCAATGTTAAAGATGATTGTCAAAAGTTTAGAATGTGCCGAATGCACTTCCAATCGACTGCAAATGCCATAGAAAAGGGTGAAACATTTAAAGCTTATGTTCCTCAATTAGAAATAAATCCCGAAGGTGCACATTAAATCCCACTCCTTGCAAAACGGCAACCGAAACGGCGACATGAGGCGTCATGTGGTGACCACTTGTGCGGTCTTGGACGCTACATGTAATAATGCCGTCCTCGTACAAAACGTGATCGCAAAATGAATATTACAAATAATGCTAATAATAAATGGCGTAAGGGACCATTGCCGTCACAGGTTTGCTTAGCGCAGGGAATAACGCATTTTTAATGAAGTTCCCAAGATTTTTCGTCTAAAAATTGCAGTATGATTGTAAATTGTGTGTGTAATGACATACATTTGAAGCATAGAAGCAATGTGATTCATGGCTGTTTCTTAGTTGCTTACATTTTTAAATTCATTTGTTTTCAATATTATAAAGACAATCTTCTTTCATAACATCATGGTAATTTGATATTGTCTATCCATGAGACTAAGAATTTGGCTTTCAAAACAATCTACATAACATTTTTTCAGTCTGAAATATTTAAGAAATTCAATACTTTATGATATTTGTATATTTGTATATAAACAAAGAGAGAACTTTATTTAAGATGCGATATGAATGAATTTTTTTTTTCTTATCGAAGAGTTTGTTTTTAGTGCAGTGATTTTTCTTTCTGCAATCGATTAATGCTGTAACTAATGATTTATTTTATTTTATTGGTTCTAATTAAAACTATTTATTTGAATGTTCACGGTTGAGAGATACTAAATCGTACCACAGAATTAAAATACATTTCGTACCCTTGATATTCATACATATATGCCCGCTGGTGGCGTGCTGCGTAGTAGTTATCCTTTAGGATCTCTATGGTGTTTTATGTTTTGTGCCAAATTTATGTATTATTGTGCAAGGTTTTCCATTTGTATATTGAACGTATACATTAAAACATTTCACTTTCTTATGGTGAAAGTGTATGCAAAGTGAACCGAACTTTTAGCACAAAGGGAAATTTGCCGAAATAATGCAGGGTTATAACGGTGTTAGATTTTCACAAAAACTTGCCCTAAATCACGACTGCCCAAGGATCCTATTTGCTCGACCTTTTTTACACAGCAAATGCGATGTTCATTTCCCTATAATGTAGACGGAGCTAATATTTTGTAGACTTGTGATTGTAGAAAAAATACATTTGTTAGTCTTCCGTTTATGTACAGTACTTTATATACTGGTCATTAGGAGAAGTTATAACCATAATTTGATTTGTCGTTTTACTACATATCTGGTCCGATTCAAGCTCTAGTGAGGTTTTAAATCTAAGCAATTGGTGAGAAAAATCTCGAATGTGATCAAGTACGTATGAGATATTTTTTTAAAACACAATAACAAACAACAGGGACTATGCCCGTATAGTGATACAATGATGGTTCTTACCTTGTCTGTACATTTTGAACTTAATATCTGATGTTATTGTGCGAATGTATGTTTACTTTTCAATTTAAAAATTGGACTAAAGTTTTTAGGTGTGCGATAACGAGATCTGCTTTTCTATGCTGCTTGCGATCTCTAGAATTCATTAGCGTTTAGTTCATTCTAATCTATGTGTGTGATTTTCTGCTTGATTGTAATGATATTCGTGAAAATCTTTATACACGTAAAATAATTATATCCATTGATAATTGATCAATGAGATATTATTTGCAGGAATGTTGAAGTAAAAAATTCATACAGTTGATTTGAGCGTGGTTTGAGCTTCATTTCAAATTATCTGTGTGTATTTTGACATGCCGTGATTTAGCATGAGATACAATGTACAAGTACATGGTTCTTTTATGAGATTTTATTGTTAAATGAAAAATAAACCCACTTCTGTATTTATTTTTGATAGCTTTTAATGACCTTTGACAACGTGCATTGAAACATTCGGTCCCTTGATCTGAACGACTTTTAACGACTATTATAGAGACAAGGTTGAGTTTTGGGAAAGATGAAAATATTGGGCCCCTTTGATTTTCTTCAGTAATTTATTTGTATTCGTGTTGAAGAATATCGTAGAAAGAAATGCTCCTTGAAAAGGATTGTTTTTCAAATGCCCTTATATTTGAAACGTGACAGAAAACAGCTGAAGTATTTGGACCAAACTTTCATGCAACATATTTATGTAGTCCTATATTTCTGTGTCCAGTGAGACTGAGTCCATTTCTTATCATTTTGATGATTCCAAAGTCTTAACCCTTTACACTCGCATCCAGACAGATTCATTCAAATTGCAATCACATGGCCAGAACTCAACGTTATCTTTAATATAGGCCTGTTAATATTTGACATCAGCCATTAGTTCTTTCATGAGTTCTTCACTATTTCTGATATACATGTACCATTACTACTGCTATTTTAACTACATGTACTACTACTACTACGTCTATTATTCCTCTCCTCTTCCTCCACCTACTACTGCCAATGCTTCTAGTACTATTGATACAAAGTCGACTATGTATTCTACTTCCTTCACAGGCATGCTGTAAATACTTTTGCTGCAACTCTCCTTGTGAAATATTCTATGTTCAAAGAATGGTCCTAAGCCCATGAATATAAAATTGCCTTGATGCTTTGAAAATTGATATGGTCTTCCCTTATATATGTATCTGTGTTTCTCCTTGTTTTTGTTGCTGCATTTGTGATGCAATCGTTTTTTTTTTTTTTTTTTTTGGGGGGGGGGGCGGGGGCGGGGGGGGGGGGGGCGAGGGCGGGGGCCTCTCTGTCTTTTCCCCATAGTCATCTTCAAAAACTGCACTGCTAATTCTATTATGGTGAAGCGAACATTTCCGTTTGAGCTCGTGCCCGGGTGCTGCCATAAAACCACCGCACACCATGCCACCTGACTGCGATATGATTTTGAAAGAATGTACACTAGCATTTGATACGAACATTTTAACTTTTAAAATCTTAACGATCGAGGATCTGATTTGTCATCCGGGATTGTCATATGATGATTAAAATCTAATTTTCAGTCAATATAAAGTTACCTTGGGGGAGAAAACGCTAGCTAAATCGGCTCAAATTCGCAGTGATGGAAGTGCGATTGTCAACGATTTTAGGCCGATCCTGCTTTTAATTTGCCTAAAATGCTTCAATGCACTAAGATACCTGTCGTTTTTTAGAACCTTAATTCAAACAAAAAAGGGAGAAGTTTTTATTCAGATTTCCATGATATAACTGCCAATTCTTCGAAAAATCGTTTCACTGGAAGATTATATATGGTGTACGGTGGTTTTACAATGTAGACTATTCTGCCAATTGCTTCTGATTACATGTCTGGTTTTTAATTTGGGAATTTAATTTTATTCTGTTACATTGTGATTGTGTGTTTCTTGCCAGCTGTTATTGCTCAGAAATGTATTCCATGTTCCATCCATTTCAATAAATATTTGTGAAGTGAATGTCAATTTTCCACGAATACTTTTTATTTTCAGAAGTCGAATATTTGTGTGAAAGTTTATATTTCTGGGTGAATATTTACGTATAATAGAAGTTGTGAATATGACTGTTCTAGAATGGGAAGGGTTTGTAAAGAAATTCGGAAATTCAAACATTGCACCCTATAATTTCTTCGAATTTTCTTTCTAATATTTTGTTTTAATTGTTTGAAGATAAATAAAATGCACGATGCTGGGAATGCGTCTATAACTTACGGAGTTTTGAGGAGTTACACAAAGAATGAACTTTGGTAAAGGCAGATGAAGAAATGAGAGGATTGTATTGATGATGATGGTGACGATGAAGGTGACGATGATGGTGATGATGATGGTGACGATTATGGTGATGGTGATAATTGTGATGATGACGATGATGGTGACGATGATGGTGATGATGATGGTGATGATGATGGTGACGATGATGGTGAGGAGGAGGAGGAGGATAATGATTGTCAGAATAAAAGTGAATTTTATTCATTTATTTTGTTTACTCGTGTCTTGCCCATTTAATTCCGAGAGAGGGCGGACTAGGAAAATATTTAACGAGTTTTCTTTGATCACGTGACATTGATATGGGTGCGGCAGAGTGAAAGTGAAATTAATATTTTTTTTCTTATCGAAGAGTTTGTTTTTAGTGCAGTGATCTTCTTTTTGCAATCTATTATTTTTGCTATCTTAATTTCACTTTATTGATTCTATTTTTTTGGAATTATTTGAATGTTTAAGGTTGAGAGGTACTAAATCGTACCACAGAAGTAGAATACATTTCATACCCTTGATATTCATACATCTATGCCCGCTGGTGGCGTGCTGCGTAGTAGTTATCCTTTAGGATCTCTATGGTGTTTTATGTTTTGTGCCAAATTTATGTATTATTGTGCAAGGTTTTCCATTTGTATATTGGACGTATACATTAAAACATTTCACTTTCTTATGATGAAAGTGTATGCAAAGTGAACCGAGCTTTTTTGCACTAAGGGAAACTTGCCGAAATAACGCAGGGTTATAACGGTGTTAGATTTTCATTAAAGCTTGCCCTAAATCACGACTGCCCAAGGATCCTATTTGCTCGACCTTTTTTATACAGCAAATGCGATGTTCATTTCCCTATAATGTAGACGGAGCTAATATTTTGTAGACATGTGATTGTAGAAAAAATACATTTGTTAGTCTTCCGTTTATGTACAGTACTTTATATACTGGTTATTAGGAGAAGTTATAACTTGATTTGATAATTTGATTTGTCGTTTTACTACATATCTGGTCCGATTCAAGCTCTAGTGAGGTTTTAAATCTAAGCAATTGGTGAGAAAAATCTCGAATGTGATCAAGTACGTATGAGATATTTTTTTTAAACACAATAACAAACAACAGGGACTATGCCCGTATAGTGATACAATGATGGTTCTTACCTTGTCTGTACATTTTGAATTTAATATCTGATGACTGATGAGCGTACTTTGCCCTCTTTCTTAAGAGTTGCGTTTAACGCAACTGGATTTTCTGCCAATCAGAATTAGGTATTTAGAAGCTGCGTTTGTTATAGTTGCGTTTAATCGCATCTTTTATGCAAGACCCCCTGTACGTTATTTAACGTTGGATCTGTGCAGTCGATGAGGAGGGAAGTTCGAAACGGGTGATGAGAGGGATAGAGAGACTAGAGGGGGAGAGAGAGAGAGAGTCTTATGCTGTGTCGTAGAATGCTTGCTATCAGAGCCTTGACATTTTATTCGGCGTAATCAAACCATTTCACCGAGATCAATATCCCCGTGAACACTGTTTTCTGCCATAAGCACTATTAGTATATTCATTTGGTGGAGATTTGTATCTGCTGAGAAGCAGGGTAAAATGCAAGCACATAATTCACAGACCCTAAGAAAGTGTGCAAAACACGAACAACTGACATTTTTACATATCTTGAAATAAGGGGCAAAAAACAACGTCTAAATGATTTTTTCCCCTTGGGAACATCTTTTTTCTGATGAAATGGATCCCAACGAACAAAATGTCACCCAAGAAGTAGGAACATAGAAGGGGGATGCATGGTAGCCCGGTAGCCCCCTTTGGCCTATGGACTCCTTAAGCATCTTACTTTGCAGTTTGGTGTGATGATCTGAAAAATTATAAGATTCGTGAGGTCGCAATGCGTAAAATTACACACAAAAGGGAGACACTTATCGCACTTGAAACGGGTCACTGACCAGATATAAAAATGGGCACCGATCAGATTTTAATAGGGGCATTTATCGGAGGTGAAAGGGGGCTTTTATGAGAAGGAAAATTAAAAGGAAAAAAAGGCACAATTCAAAATAAACGGGGCACTTATCGGAGTTGAAAAAGGGTAATTATGAGAAGGGGGAAGGGGCACTTATCAGAAGGAAAAAGAACAATTATTAGAAAATACAATGGGGCAAGTGCCAAAACAAAAATGGGGCAGTAATAAGAGTGACAAAGGGACAGTCATCAGAGATGAAAAGAACACTTATCATGAGGGAAAGGGGCACTTGTCAAAGTAAAACTAGTATCTCTCAGATTTGAATAGGGGCAATTATCGGAGGTGAAGGGGGCATTTATCTGAAGTGAAAAAGAGTAACTTCTCGTACCTGAAATGGGTCATTTACCATAGATGAAAGGGGTATTTATGAGAAGAGGAAGGGGCTCTTTTTAATGAGGGCACTTATCATTAAGCAAGGGGTACTTATTAGAAATGCAAGAGGCACATGTGGAAATATAACGTGCGCTTATCCGAGTTTAATAGTGGGGTAGTTATTTAGAGGGGAAGGGGCACTTCTTACAAAGGACAAGGGGCACTATTTGAATAGGACAATTATCAGAGGTGAACAGGAGCACTTCTCGTACCTGTAAAGGGGCACTTCTTCTTCTTCCAGTATAGTACAGTCCGCCGTTGGCGTATTATCGTACCTTGTGTTTGTCAAGTGCCGAGTGTACAGTGCAAGTAAAAAGGTTCTACAAGAATTCTATGTGCAGCTAAAAAACAGTCTGAAGCTCAACGGAGCTTGATGTGTTGCACCTTCTGCTTGAAAAGTTCCAAAGAGGTGCAATCGACGACAGCAGATGGTAAGGAGTTCCACAGTCGGATAGTATCTGGGTAGAATGTGGTTTGGAAAAGCAGAGTTCGGGCAAAGGGGACATGGAATTTCTGTGGATTTCCACGGGTACTGGGACCAACACTTACTAGTATCAATCACAGCTGACGACATTCTAAACTGACTTTTTAAAATCAAAATACATAAATGATAATAAAACATCATGAGCATCGTAATAAAATCATCTCTTGTATAAATTATATCAGTGCATTCACTTTCTTTCTTCCCATTATCTACATAAGACAAGACATAAAACAAAACTGAAAACTTGAAAGTGACTTGAACATTTATACAGTATTACAAGCCTCATATTAATTAAATAAAACTTGAACTTGAACTTGAACAAGCCTCATATTAATGGCAGAGGTAAATTTTACATGTTTCTTCCCTTTTCCTATTTATTAAGCAAATAAAATCTGTAAAGTTTTAAATAAACTCTGTCATCAAAATGTTTTGAAGTGGTTCACTTGTCTTTCGATTCCTAGAAATCATTACCAGAAATATCACAAATGGTATGTCTTCATCAGGTCCAGATTGCCAAATAGCCCAATATTTCTGATTTGGTAAATAAGCCCCAAGTTACAACTGGTCTTCATCAGCTAGAGACTCGACCACGAAACTCAAGCTCCAGAAATTGGCTCAAGATATTTTGCTCAGCGTTTGTGCATAGTGTGCGTCTTCGGGCTGGTGAAGACGCACTGGACAAATAGCGGGATATTTTGCAAACTAGCCCAAAATATCCCGCTAATTGCAACTGTGGGCTGATAAAGAAGCAAATTAGCTGGGTAAGTTGTGATCGGGATAGTTAAAATAGCGTTTTTGGGGCAATCTTGAGCTGATGAGAACATGCCTAAGGTGAATCCATTAATATGAAAGGAGTTAATCCTACTACCACAGGACCAATAAAGGGGTTGAGGGTTCAGATCCCAGCCTATAGCACTAATATCCTTTTGCAAGATTCAACATTACCCCCTCTCAACCAACCCATTACCTGATATATAATGGCTGCTTCGCTGTTTCCTCATGACACAGGCATATTAAAGCACCATAGGCTATAAGAAAAAAAGTCCGTAAAAAAACAATAAAAAAGGGCACTTATGATAATGGGAAATGGATACTTATTGTAAAGGAAAAAAATGGAACGTGTCGAAGGAAAAGGGGGACATTTCAAAATAAAAGGGGCGCTTATCAGAGGTTGTGGCTGTCATGATGTTCGATTAGACATGATATTGATATCGATGTAAACAATGTGATCGAGAGATAATGTAATGCATTGCATGTTGCAAGGTCAAGAGGTCAAATACGGCATGTTACATGTTCGTCAAGCCGGAGCGGAAAGGATACAATAAAGACTATGAGACTCGTAATACTTGTGTTGAATTCCATTTATTCTATATCCTGGTTAGGATATGACATTGGCGACGAGGATGAAAGTCATATAGGACAATTGTAGATCTGTTTGAGAAGGAAAATGGCGTTTGGAGGTGCAGATATCAAGGGACTTGGTCAGTTTGATCCGACCGGAGACGCCAGTGTTGTGAGTGAAAGATGGCAGCGCTGGTATGAGGAGTTTGATGCGTACGCAGATAGCCTCGGTGTGTTTGTCGACGGGGCAGAGCCGGCGCAGTTGACTCGACGTAGAGCCTTGATGATGTACTCGGCTGGAGCGGCTGTGCGGGAAGTTTTCAAGACCCTTGAGGATACTGGCACCAAGGCAGATTATGACAAGGCTGTGAACGCTTTGGAGAAGCATTTTGTTGTGCAGTCAAATTCTACCTTTCAGCGTCATGTTTTCAGACAGATTACTCAGCAGGCGGATGAGACTGTGTCGCAGATGGTGACACGGCTTAAGAAGGCAGCAGAAGGCTGTGCTTTCAGAGATGATTTGGAGAACCAGATTCGTGATCAGGTCGTTCAAGGGTTGCGGTCATCTAGACTGCGAAGGAAACTTTTGGAAAAGGGTACTGCACTCACCCTAACTGCAACCTTGGCGATAGCAGCGTCACTTGAGGCCGTGGAGGCCATGGATTCTCAATTCAGAAAACTGTCATCGGTGGAAGAGTTTCCTAGCTCTAGTTCCCAGGTCCGTCAGGTCAGTAATGAAACCCGTGAATGCTTTAATTGTGGGAGAACTGGGCACAGTTATAAGGACTCGACATGTCCAGCCAAGGGACGGATATGCCACACATGTGGGAAAAAGGGACACTTCGCCACAAAGTGCAGGGATGGTTCAGGGAAGAAGGAGCAGACAAGTGGACCAAGCTTTAAACCTAGAGGAAAATGGGGACAGAAAAGGCAAGGTCACAAAGTGCGACAAGTGGATGAATGCACATGTCACTGTCAGAATAAGCAAGGTGATGAACAGAACCATAGTGATGATAGTGAGAGAGGATATGCATTCGCTATTGATACTGACAAGTGTGAAAAGGTGCCTGTTGTGATTGGAGGAGTACCAGTTGATATCATAGTAGATTCTGGAAGCACTGCGAATATCATTGACAGAGCATTATGGGAGTTCCTGAAGACAGAGAAAATTACATGCTCATCCCGAAGGTGTAACAAAAAGCTCTATCCGTATACTTCTGTAGAGCCACTTCAGACCATTGGATGTTTTAAAGCTGTGGTCAAGGCAGGTGAGAGAAGTGTAGAAGCTGAATTTGTTGTCATTGCAGAGAAAGGTGAACCACTGATGAGTAGAAAAACGGCATTAGCCCTTGGTGTGCTACGGATCGGGATTGATGTGAACTCTGTGAAATCATATGTAGATATGAGAGAAGAATTCAAGCCAGTATTCCAAGGCGTTGGAATACTGCGTGATCGACAAATCAAGCTGAAAGTTGATCCCGAGATTAGACCTGTAGCCCAGCCAGTTCGAAGAACACCATTCGGTTTGAGAGACAGAGTGAAGGAGAAGATCCAGGAACTAGTCGAGCAAGACATTATAGAGCCTGTGGAAGAACCTACACCGTGGGTTAGTCCTGTAGTCATAGTACCCAAGCCTAATGGAGATATCCGGATATGCATTGACATGAGGCGGGTCAATGAAGCCATTGTGAGGGAGAGACATCCGATACCGACAGTGGATGAAATACTCCAAGAGTTGTCAACAAGCAAGGTGTTCTCAAAAATTGATCTAAAATGGGGATATCATCAGTTGGAGTTAGATCCTGAATCCCGAAAGTTGACCACGTTTGTAACACATTGCGGACTATACCGTTACAAGAGATTGTTATTCGGTGTGAATGCAGCACCTGAGATCTATCAGCACGAGATCCACAAAGTGCTTCAAGGACTACCTGGTGTTGCAAACATTTCTGATGACATCATCATTCATGGTGCCACGCAGGAAGAGCATGATGAGAGGCTTCGACAGACCTTGACACGATTGAAAGATGCAGGATTAACGGCCAATGCAGAAAAGTGCCTGTTTGGTGTGTCCGAGTTAGTATTCATGGGACACAAGTTGACAAAGGACGGCATCAACCCCACCAAGGCCAAGATTGAGGCTGTAGCAAACGCATGTGAGCCAAAGAATGCAAGTGAAGTACGAAGTTTCCTGGGCCTAGTGAACTTTTGTGCAAGGTTCATCCCAAACTTGGCAACGGTGGCGGAACCTCTTCGGAGGCTGACTAAGAAGGATCAGAAATTTGAGTTTGGCATGGAACAGAAGCAGGCTTTTCAAACACTGAAGGACAGTTTGAGTAGTGCCCATACTTTGGGTTACTTTGATCTAAAGGCCCCCACGCAAGTTATTGCAGATGCCAGTCCTGTGGGACTTGGAGCTGTGTTAGTGCAGAAGCAAGATGGTGAATACAGAATTATAGCCTATGCAAGCCGTTCTTTGACAGCAGTTGAGCAAAGGTATTCACAAACAGAGAGGGAGGCGTTGGGACTCGTATGGGCGTGTGAACACTTTCACGCGTATTTGTACTGGAACGAGTTTGAATTATTGACGGATCATAAGCCACTAGAAGCAATCTACTCACCCAGATCCAAACCATGTGCACGTATTGAACGATGGATGCTTCGACTTCAGCAGTACAGATACAGAGTAGTGTACATAGCTGGGAAGACGAACATCGCGGATTCGCTATCTAGGATGCTGGATGTGGATAAACTGAGAAGCTCTACATTGGAGGATGAAGCAGAGTCATTTGTTAGATTTGTTGCCACACACTCTACCCCGAGGGCAATGAGGACAAGAGAGATTGAGGAAGAATCTGACAAAGATCCAGAGTTGTTAGATTTGAGGGAAAGAATCCAGAAGGGCGATTGGAATACATGTCCATACAAGGTGTATTCAGCCATCAGGGACGAGCTGTGCATCATTGGGAGATGCGTACTGAGAGGGAGTCGACTTGTAATACCAACTCAGTTGAGACCAAGGATGATAGCGTTGGCTCATGAAGGTCATTTGGGAATTGTTGGCACGAAGCAAAATCTCCGATCTAAAGTGTGGTGGCCCGGCATGGAGAAGGAAGTTGAACGCTATGTAAAATCTTGTCATGGGTGCCAGATTGTAAGCAGACCCAGTCCACCTGAGCCAATACGAAGTACGCTCTTACCAGCTGGTCCATGGGAGGATGTCGCAGTAGATTTTTTGGGACCACTACCATCTGGTGAATCAATTCTAGTGATCATTGACTATTACAGTAGATATTACGAATATATTGTGATGCGATCTACAACAGCAGAGAAGACGGTGGCAGCTCTAGCAGGGATCTTTGCAAGACATGGTTTGCCACTAACGCTGTATTCTGACAATGGGCCTCAATTTATCTCGCAAGTCTTTGCAGACTATATGAGGCTGACAGGTGTACACCACCATAGGGTTACACCTAAGTGGCCTCAGGCAAATGGTGAGGTTGAGCGACAGAACCAATCCCTCGAGAAGAGAATGAGAATTGCTCATTCAGAAGGCAAAGACTGGAAGGAGGCGCTGTTGTCATATGTTGCAGCATACAGAGCTACACCACATAGCACAACAGGTAAAAGCCCAGCTGAGCTACTCTTCGGACGGAAGATCAGGACAAAGTTACCTGTTATCAGTGAATCTCTAAATGACCAAGAGATCAGAGACCAGGACGCTGAGAGCAAAGGTGCATCAAAACTGTATGCAGACTCTAAGAGGGGTGCCAAACCATCTGAGGTGGTGCCAGGAGATGAAGTTCTGGTGAGGAGGGAAGTGTCTAGCAAAATGGACACACCATTTCTACCACAACCATACACAGTTGTATCCAGAGAGGGCAACAAGCTGACCATTTGCTCACCAGAAGGTGTGATGTATGCTAGGAACACATCACATGTGAAGAAGTATCATCGACAGGGTATTCCGTCTGACATAGGAATACTGCAGCCGGAAGCTGAGACTACAGAGGCCCAGGTTCCACTCTACCATGGTGTTGGTGCTGAATTGATAACACCGCAGTCTGATGTCGAGACTACTAGTGATCAGAGCCAACATGAGGGGACTGAGCGTCAGATGGGAGTTCCGAAGACCGTACCATCACCGACCCGGACATCAATTTGGAGCAGACCAAAACGCCATCGTTTGAGGCCCAAGCGATTTTCTGATTATTTGTTGGAATGATGATTCCGTGGAAACAGCCATCTAGTATTGTGACGCGAAGTGTTCAACCAGTAAAAGTGACACAACAAAGTTTTTCAGTCATTTTAATGTTTGAGTGTTAAAATGTTTCACAAAGAGTTCAAGTGCTATTTTAGCAAGTACATAGGGTGTATGCCTGTACGCTGCCCTATATTTAATGGAATGTTCACTACATTAGGGTGTATGCCTGTACGCTGCCCTATAGTCAATGAAAAGTTCAGTAACCGGGTGTATGCTTGTACGCTGCCCTATTTGAAGAAGAAAAAAAGTAGTTTTGGGTGAATGCTTGTACGCTGCCCTGAGTTAAAGTGATTAATTAGTGAAATTTAAACCAAAAAAAAATGAGAGAAGAAAAGGGTGCAAGCTAGTGCCAAGAGAAACGTGGGGATTCATCTCAAAGCAAACTCTCAAGTTGTTAGCTGACTTTGAAGCTCAAGTGAAAGACTAGCAGCTGAAGAAAGAACATTATAAGATTAATTATAATGAGAACTCTAAAATGTCTCATGACAGATCTGATCAACATCCAACCCAGAGATGAATATTGAGAACTCTAATGCATGCGTCTTATGAAAGACTCATATTATAAACAAACAGAGACTTTATAGTTAAAGCAGTTTGATATGTCAGTCAAGTAGTTAAATGAAGTGAGTTGATCATACACTGCATATATTGTAATGTCAAGTTGTTTGAATATTCATTTCATGATGTGTATGATGAGAAATGTATAAGTTCTGAATTGGGAGTTCATTGTTTTAAAAAACAAAAAACAATGTCTGTTTGGTTGAAGTTCAAGTTCAATAGTTCGAAGTCAAGTAATACACGAGTCGTTATTAGTATGAAAACAAACAAACGATATTTGGATATCGATTTGGTCAATGGAAAAGTCACATACATGTATTATATTGATACAAACAGTTCAAAACTTATTGCATGCTAAAACAAGTTTTGAAATCAGGGTTCATGTTTATTCATTGAAGTAAAATGGAAAAGATGTCTTTTAATCTGATAAGGGAGGGATGTCATGATGTTCGATTAGACATGATATTGATATCGATGTAAACAATGTGATCGAGAGATAATGTAATGCATTGCATGTTGCAAGGTCAAGAGGTCAAATACGGCATGTTACATGTTCGTCAAGCCGGAGCGGAAAGGATACAATAAAGACTATGAGACTCGTAATACTTGTGTTGAATTCCATTTATTCTATATCCTGGTTAGGATATGACAGTGGCGTGCGCCTGTAATATTCAGCTAACGATGGAAGTTACAAACTGATTCAACCGAGGACGCAGTTTCGAAACTGAGTCACGTCTTTCGGATGGTGACGTTTAAAGGTCGGTCCCCCGCCCCCCCCCCCCCCCCACTCCGAGAACGGACGGACCCCATGCGTGTTACCAAAATGTCCTTTTCGTAACAAAAGAAAAAGGTCGACCCGTAAAATCCTCTTTCCATCAATTTTCTTTGGGAACGTCAAAAAGTAATTTACATTTCCCTTCATTATTTACATCCATGACTCTTTTCACCCAGGCAATTTTTAGTGACTTACAAAATAATTTGGCATTTATCATTTTCAATCCACCTTCTTCGTACGTATTATTCATAACAGTTCTTTTAATTTTGTCTACAGACCATATGAAATTAAATAATATTTTTTTGGAGTCGATCAAAAAATGAAGCATGCGGATTTTCTGTGATACCAATTAAATACACACATTTTGGAACAACCAAAGATTTAGTTACGGCAAATTTACCAAACAGCGTCAAATTACGGAAGTCCGTATCCTTAATAACAGTTCGGTTTCTTTCAACTTTAACAAAACACATTCACTGGAATAGTTACACGAAGATAGCAAATACTGTCTGAAATCCAGTGACATTTTATATCTTCACATAGCAGGCGCGTACGCAGGGGGGAGGGGGGGGGGGGGGGATTAACCCCCCCTTGAGTTTTTTTTGTGTATGTTTTGTGTATGTTTTTTGTGCAAACCCCCCCCCCCCCACCCCTCCCCTGCGTACGCAGGGTTTGAGTTTTTTTTTTTTTTTTTTTTTTTATTAAAAAAAAAACGACAAAAATGTCAAATTTTCAAATTTCGAGACAAAAAAAAAAAAAAAGTGTCCGCTTACCCCCCCCTTCTTAATTTTAACTCTTCGGCATGTAAAGTAGGTGACAGTTTCATCAGCATACTGACTGACTCGTATTTCGACATCATTTAACGGGATGCCTTTTAAAAAATCTATCTTGCCGAATCATCCATCCAAGAACTTCAGCTCCGAGAAGGAATAGGCGCGGCGACAGAGGGCAGCCTTGTATTACACCTCTCTGTAAATCAAAGGCTTGAGATAAATGCCCATTATTTATCACACAACTATTAATATTGGTGTAGAGCAGTGACACCTATGCAAAAAAAAAAGGTTTTAAACTAAATTTCTGCATATTCAGAAACAAGAAATTCCATTCAATGGCATCGAACGCTTTTTCGAAGTCAATAGATAACGCTAGGCCTTTCAAACCATTTTGTCTACAATGATGTATCATATCAATGAAAAGGCGTATGTTTTCACCAATATATCGCTTTTTCAACAAAAAACAGTTTGGTCTCCATCTTTAATTAATGAAAGAATCCTTTTTTTGTAGTGCTCGTTTTTAAAATCAAGGTATTTTTCTCTTTTGGGGGGAGAAGAGCAATCACTCCTCTTCTCTTTGAATTTTTTTATTTATATCAACCGAAAATTCTTTATAGAAATTAGCAGGTAGCCCATCTGTGGTAGGTGTTTAATCTGATGGCAAGTCTTTGACTGCTTCATAGCATTCTTCTTCAGTTATGAACCCTTCACAAAGAGAAGCAGAGAACGCAATTCCAGCTTATCCAACAAATCAATAATTCCTTCTGGGGGATAGTCATTAATTGCTTTGATACCGTTTCTGATAACGTAATTTTTCCTCATGCAAAATTTTAGATGGTTCAAAAACTATGAATGTGTCATCTTTTTCCAACTTCTGAATATGTTTCCTTTCGCAATTTCGTTTGTCTAAATTTAAAAAATATCTCGGAGTTCTTTTTCCCTTCAGCAATCCATGTGGCACGAGTTCGAATCATAATTCCTTGAACAAAAATCTTTTTGCATTTGGCATAGTTCTGTCTGATAACGTAACAACAAATCATTTGAAAAAATATTATTTGGATCTATATCCAAAGCATAGCATAGCTTCTCGGTGTTTTTTTTTTTTTTTTTACCAAGTATTAAGGATATATTGACTGCTTTGAGAGGCATAGTGGTTTCTATAGGGTCAAGGGAAACTCACAACCTGCTATGACCCCAAGGCGCTTGCGCCGCGGGGTCATAGCAGGTTGTGAGTTTCCCGAGACCCTATAGAAACAACTATGCCTCGAATATTAAAAGCAGTCAATATATATTTTATATACCGAAAAAAGGGAAAATGTTGACTCACCCATTTAGGTTTCCATCTCTTTGAAGTCATGAATATTAACACCAACAATAACTTGTGTACAGTATGAAATCCAACAAGCTGTGCTCCAGTAGAACAGGGACTGGTAGATTCGTCGCCTGAATGCAGCGACCAAAATCGAATTGCACTCAAACACCGTTAACGGTATTGCGCATCGGTCATCGCACAAAAGAAACTTATACGGTAACACGTAAACCAAAATGGGGATCGCAGCAAAATGACGTCACGTTTCACAGCCATGGAAAAAGTGCTATGAAAAATGGATATAAACCGGTAGAGCCGGGAAAAATGACTATGAATTTCAATTAGCGGGCATGGTTAAGAACATGACTGCATTTTCAACCAATCAGAAGACAGGATTAGTAAAGAATCTTAAAATGAGGTATATAATGTATTCTATTATCTTTATTTTGTTTACGCCAAAAGAAATTAAAATGCATATCTGCTTTACTCTGTATTTAACAACTCCCATGATATACATATATCCATACTTTTGTTATTTTCAATAACTTCACTAATTTCATTCCTTATTTTGTTCTTTCTCCATTTCATACAAATTTAAAGTAGAGTTGTTTTTAACTTCCAGTAACCAGGTACTCTCTTGGAAACATATATTCCACTACCAGGCCTATAGCAGAGTGGTCACTACGATGACTATATATGTTACAATGTTCAACATATAGCTTCTCAAATTCATTCTGTCATTTAATCATTTAAACTGCATTATTGTATTCATCAAAATTTAATTAAATTACTGTACTTTTACATAATTTGCTTTCATTTCTCTGTAATTGATGTTTATAATGATTGCCCTTGTCCTTATTTGGATATTTCTTTAGTTCATGAATTAGTAGTTATGTGTAATTTTGTTTTTTTTAATATTTTAAAGCGCATTAATTGTTCTCCAAAGGTGAAATGCGCTATAGAAGCCTAGGTTGTTATTATTATTATTAAATTATTCGATATAAGAACATAGTAAATTCTCCTTCTGGCTACCTTTGACCGACTTGTAAACTATACCTTTGATGGGTTTTGTACACGCCCAAAGGACAACTAAATCAAAGTCTTCTCTACACAAATCAATTGCAGACAAGCATCTTGGATGGTATTGTACATGATTGGGGTATGATCTGTAAACCTTTGGATCTTGTACTGTATTCATGTCGCCCCCTATAGTTAAAGGCTCTTCCCCCTATTCATTTACAACATCATTCAATTTTCTAAATACACTATCTGTGTTTGGACCATAGACATTTGCAAATGTAATATTATATTTTGCCTTCTCATGCTTATCTCCTTTCTAATACACATTTCTCTTTCCCTGTCTTCTTCAGCTCATCATTTTGTTTTATTTTCTGTACCCCCGATCTCTCACTTCTTTTTTGGCATTGTCTACTCTTTGTATGATGATCGTGTTCTTCTATCTTGTTCATGTGAAGTACTGTCTTGTCTCGTTTTCGTCTCTGTTGGTGCCCCTTGTTTTTTCTTCTTCTTTCTAGTTTCTAGTTCATTTTGTTATTACGTACTTGTTAATTCAATTTCCTAATTATTCCTAAGTATCATTTGAGGTTTTCACATTCGTACAAGCATTGCTTTTTAGTGGACCCCTCTGTTTCCAATATGTATTTCTACATTTGTTGTAAATGTTTATAATTGATTTATAATGTTTTATTGGAAACATAAATAAATTATAATTAAAACTGTGAATTTCTTTTTCTCATAGGTAGGAACAAGCAACAAAGCTCTTAAATGGTTCAAGTCATATTTATTAATTTGAAAGGTCTCAAATTGTTTGTGTTAATAATTCAAAGTCTAATCCTGCTGCGTTAGTGGTGTTCCGCAAGGATCTGTTGGAGGCCCTACACTTTTCTCGATTGACTTAAGGGGTATGAAACATATTTTATAATACCACTCTTTTAATTACCATTGTTATGTCATTGATACCATTACAAAACTTGAGGCTTGTGTTCATGATATCAAGAAATGGATAAGCTGTAATTCCTTGAAATTAAATCAAGAAAAACAAGGTCAGCCATCCCTCTATTAAGGTTGATGATGTTGTTGTTATTACTCTGTCTAAATCATGTTGAAATCTTGGACTCTAATTTGATTCTACAATGTCCATGTCCGTTATTAGATCCCGGCTGTTTGTAAATCTGTCAGGTATCAACTACGTAATTTAGGCATCATCCGCATGTATTTAACCCACTCGGCCACAGAAAAATAGTTCATGCCCTCATATCGTCTCGACTTGACTTTGGTAATGCACTTTTGTTTCAGCTGCCACAATCTCAACTTTCACGGTTACAAAAATTACAAAATTCAGCAGCCCGTATTATTTTAATCATTATGAATATGACGATGATTATTAATGTTATTACTATTATTTAGGTTACTATCATTATTATTATATGATTATTATCATCAGCATAATCGTCAATGGCAGTAGTGTAGTAGTAGTACAAGTAGTATAGGCCTAGTAGTAGTAGTGATATCACTCTGATCCTTATCATCCTGATTAACTTGTTAAAATAATCGCCTTATGTCTTATTCATCCTATAGTTCTAATGTATTCTGACTGTTTTCAAGACAATTTTATTTTTGTCGACCATAGTTCTAACTTTATGTCTAATGGTAATTTTTTAGGAAAAAACAATCTAAGCACCAGTTGCTGAATTTTAGCGGCAATCGTTCGCAATTGCTGCTCTTTAACACTTCTATGACAAGCAGTAGTAAATTAATATTTCAGGATTCACTCTGTTGATATTTGTCCTTCTCCACCAGTACAGATGGCAACCTGCTTGTAATTTAATTTTTCGAGTGTCGGTTGTCCGAAAATCGTAATCGTATCTATCGCGATATCAATTAATCTTTTGTAACCGCAAATTTTATGAAAGTCTTGGGTAATTTTAACGTTTTTCGTACACAACAGTTGTTTTTTCTCCGAAATTTAATGTAAAACAACACTTTTGCATTCTAGGTTTTCTTTTCAGGATCTTATTTGTCTTCAAATACAGTCATACGTGTATATGTATGACATCCCACATGTTTATATATATATATATATAGGCCTATATATAAAACATCCCACAACTCTGGTCACGCGACCTTGCACAATGTCGGCCAGCCAGAGGCTACCCACGGATTCGTTAATTTTAGTATGTTTAGATCTATCGGTATGAAAGTAAGGCCGATATTTCTACTTTTTCTATTTAAGATTAATCAAATACGAAACATGCTTAAGATAAAAACAACAATGCTGATGATACCAGAATTACTGAATTTACTTGTTCATCCTCTGTTTCCACTACAATTGTTCATGTATTATGTTAACCATCATTATGTATTTCTATGTCTTTTTGCTGTGATTATTGCCAATGCTTTCTTTTTGCATGTAAAAAAGGCGAATCTATATGGACACTAAAAAAGGATTATATGATATGAAACAAACAAAACATCAATACCTTAACAAAATCCCCCCCCCCCCTATCAGGGCTATGTATTTCGAAGAGTTGTGATTGATTCAAATCAGCCATTACTTAAAATTAAACGCAACTGTGTCCTTCAAATCAATCGCAACTCTTTATAAGGCGGGGCCAAAATATCAACATTACCTCTAAATATTGCTATACGAATAATATCATTATCACTATCAAAATTATCTAATGATAAAAGTGACAAAAGATCCAGTCATTAAACAATTTTTTGTTTTGGTATACTTTAACGTTTATTTGGAATACGTAGAAAAAAACATAAGTGCAAATGATATTGATATTTCTTACATATAGAGAAAGGCTTTCATGGCCTTCTGTCTCTGTACAATAAGTTACAAAGTTTAATATTGTGAACTGTATAAGGCTTCCAAGTGGTACAATAAATGAGTGTATTTAATATCTTTAGCGCAGTAGGCCTACCCGGATGACTGATCCGGGAACTTCAACTATCGATATCGATATCACACAAAAACGAAGCCATATTTACCGCTAGTCAGCCTGATGTAGATAATATAATAATATCGTATGGCTTTGTTTTCGTGTGATACAAGACTATATTGAACTTGTCTTCAAATCGTCCATTATTGTCATAGCTCGAGCAATATAGTCTTGTATCACACTGAAAGCCATCCAAAATTATATTAATATCATAGGCTCATCAACGTGCATTGAACGTTTTTCAAAAAATCAAAACACCTTGGATGGTCATGTCATATACCGTAGACAAGAAAGAGACGAAGCGGGATAAATAAAATAAATTAATTAATACAATTTCCACGACCAAAACAAAAGAAAATGTAAATTAGTTTTAGAAAAAAAAAGGAAGAAAGAAAGAAAGGAAGAAAGAAAGAAAGGAAGAAAAAGATAAAATAATAGAAAATTAAGATGATGCATCATTTTTGAAACCACTGCCACCTTCTTCCGTTGTGATTAACATATCAGTCAATTACTTGTTAAATCCAATGAAACATGCATACATCAATTGATTAACAAAATAATTATAAATATTTATTTGGCATTTACTGATAATGTAATTCGTGCAAATTCAAAAAGAAAAAACACAGGGAATGCATCACAATATATGGTGAATCAGAAATTACTCCCGTTCTCTTGGAGAAGATTTGTGTCGTTAAATTAAAATTCTGTGGTTATCTAACATTGTATTCACAAACTTCACTGTCGAGCGAGAAGCAAGAAGACTAGAATCATAAATCCGAATCATTTTTGTTTTAATTCGAAGACAAGTGTCAAATGTATAAATAAAAAATTAAAAAACAAAGTATAAGTATTTGTTTTAAACCGTTCGCGAAAAAAATGTCATGATAATAAAGGTATTATACCTATTATATAGAGCAATGTTGTCATTTTAGTAGCTCATTCACATTGTAGACTATGAGATGACCACTTAAGTTATGCACTTTCGAGAGGGGGCAATTGCAACCGCTTTTCTTTGGCATGATAATATGTAAAATAATATAAAGAAACGTGCTCCCTACCATTGGCAATTTTACTGGCAAATCTGCCAGTAAACATGTGATTTTTTTGTAAAAACATGCCTCCTTCATAATTGGTTTCAACACCTTTGAATAATAATGAGAGTGTTTTTGTTAGTTGCAGGAAGTGACCCAGGAAAATATCCGCATTTTTCGCGTCCATCCAGTGATCTATTGGTTCAAATCGTCCCGGAATATCTGTAAAAATTGTAATCGCCGTTTTTAATAGAGATCCTCACTTGATACATAAAACTTGACACTGTCTATCCTGATGATTGTACATAATGGATAAGGGAAAAGATTTTGGGGCTAGAGGGCAATTTAGGTCCAAATGAACTCGTCTAGTGAAGCCTATTGTTGAAGGAAGATGGGTGGAATCCTGATTTTCCCTCTAGAAACATTTCCCCTCACATCACACTTATTGTCTTCCACAGAGGAGCTGGGGTGGTACCCTTGGTATTGAGTCTGTCTTACAGGCATGTTTGGTACGCGAAGCGTACGTTTTAGGTTACGATGCGCCACGTGCAGCGGAGGAGATCGTGCACCCGTCTCCCTGGTATCCACCCCATCTTCAGACAAGTCCGTGGGGTGCACGGAGATGTAGTCCGGTCGTCTCCGCATGCCATTCTCCGAGACCACTGGGAGCTTCTTAGCCATGAACTCCTCAGAGAAGAATACATTTCCATGCCCTGGTGATCGGGGTGGCGATGTCAGGTTACCGGGTGAACTGGAGGGAGAGTGTGTAAATATACCAAACCTAGACTTCGACTGGGGGTGGACAGCATGGTGCATGTCCTCATTAGATGGATACGGGTAGAAGTCTCTTTGAGAGGAGGTGTATTCGAGCGTGGAAGGATGACGTGAAGACATGGGTGTACATGGCGGAGATGACGCCCAGGTGGGAGTAAAGACGGTATCACACGGTATTTCCTGGTAGATATCTTGCTTCTTGTCTTCTGTCGGTAATGGAGGCAGTGGCATGTACTTGCGATTGTCGTGGTTGATCGCAGAGCGTTGCCTCCACAGGTGCTTGGGCGGCATCTGAAGAAAAAAGGAAAGAGAGAAGAAAAATGACAAACAGGTTATTACAATGGTTGTAATTCTCAATAACTATAGGACGAATTACTAACAAAGTGTCGTGGTGTACTGGTTTCTTCACTTGGCTAGAATTCCGAGGGTCGAGGGTTTGCATCCCATCTCCACTAACGTCCTTAGGCAAAGCATTATTCCGCACATGTCACTCTTTACCCTTGTGTAAATGGCTACCTAGAAAATTGCTGGGTAAATAATAATTACATGGACCTCAGAAAGAAAAGCTTTGATGCTGATGAGAATTCCATGGGTGAACATATCCATTTAGGTCACTTGTGGAATCTAATTGTGAATTATGAATACTTTTTGTAGATTAACATGATTGATAACTAGTCCTTAATCATTCCATTCAAACTTCGGTTGATTTGCATTCGTTACTTCTAAATCGGCAAATTAACATGAAACTGTATGTGTACTTTTTTAAAACATTTGCCTAATATGCTCGGGACCTGTGATCAAAATATAATTCATAGTGAATACTTACGATGGACCAACAGCTATTTGAAGTGGTTGTGTGGTCAATATCGTCTTCTTCGGCGTTCCCGAGTCTCTCGTACCGTGACCTCTGGCCGTTCTGGTCCAAGCGCTTGTTGTCCGATGCGATGCCATTACTCTGACGAAGCGGTCTCCTGATCATCAGCGGCGTTTCGTATGATTCTGCTGTTTGGAGACATGGTGGGTTCAAATTGGGGTCAAAGGTCATATAGAATTCATCGCTGTCCTGGTGTCCTACCACATCTGCCAGATTGCTAGATCGAGGGGCGGGGGGATGTAAAGCGCTTCGGTGGTACGGAGTCGTATCCACTGAACCACAGGTGACGTTCCGTACATTAGTGTCAATTGAATTGATAGACATGGTTTTTCTCACCGATTTCGTCAGATTAAGAGCGTTTTTCTTGCTGAAATTTCGGGACACCGTATCAGGATCGATGTAGCCACAATCAGAATGTTGAGGACTACTTCCCTGTGTCTTTGAAGAACTTACTAAACAAGCCCGATAATGTCTCATCCCTTCTTGGTCAAGCTGCTCATGTGATCGGACATTTCTACAAATGCTTTTTAGTCTTCGTGTTGTCTTTGGGGTTCCAAATTTACTCAGGTCTGGAACGCTCTCGTACTGCAAGGACTTTTCTTTGAACCGTTTGAGGAGACTCAGTTTAGGCATCTTATCCAGGAAAGTGGAGAAGGCTGTTTTCTTCGACAACTTATCCTCGAATGCGAGCGTACTTTTCAGTTTATCTTCGCGGTACGGTGAAATGAGTCCCGGTGAAAAACTTCCATTTTTCCCATCAGATCCATTCCTCCTCATCTTAAGCATTTTCTCGCCCCGCTTTGCCCCCCGCAAAGCTTCACACGCATACGAATCGGACAGAGATCGACGCCTGTGATCGGGAGCAACAAAATCGTCATGGTGGTTCTCATGGGTGGGTGTCGATTGGCTTTGGGTTCGTGATGGTCTACTACCAAAGCCCGTCGAAACGGAAGATGACTCCTGATCCCAATGCTCACGATCTGTACTCATAATGTTATGCTGAAATTCGCTTGGTTGGCTTGAATCACTCCTAGTGGGCGACACCAGCATACAACTTGACGTTCTGAGTCTGTAGTCAAATCGGAAGTTCCCCATGCCCGGACTCAAGGGTGCATCTTGCGGCAGAGATGGATAACTATGAGTACGAGAAGCACTTGTCTTTCGAACAAATGAACACGTGGAATATCCGGAGGAGGTGGTTTGGTCAAACGACTCTCGTTGAGTTGTCTCGGTCGGGATTGGACACTGCTTTTCAGCTATTTGAGAACTGTAAAGTTTAGGACTTTGAGCGGGGCTGGTGTTCGTATTAATGAGCAGAATTTGTTCGTGAGAGCCAAGAGGAGGCAGATTTGGTAGTGGGTCCGTTTGAATTTGGGAATCACGCTTACACGGTTTCGTCAGGGTAGCCGTGGAGGGGGAGGACCTATGAAACTGATCGAGCAACTCGCACAAACTTGAATAGCCTTCGTGCATCACGATAGAGTTCGGGCAAAACGTCTCGGGGAAAGTGAACTGAGGATCAATACATCTCTTCGAGACGGAGAACTTAGAATGGACAAGAGAGTCTGAGGAATGATTTTCATCCAGACTCTTTCGACAGAAGGCAACACAGTGACATCCGCAAGGGCTACTAGCATGGCCGTCTCCAGTAACATGTTTGATGTCATTCTGCCTGTCTGCTGGTGAATATTTCGCACATCGTTTGTTCTTATCGCTCTGTCCTTTAAAGCGACGAAGAATCTTAGTTAGAAGGGGTGTTTCGTTAGTCTTCGGATCCATGTTGCTTCGTTGGGCACTCTTGCCCAAGTTTCTCGTGATAATTGTCGATGCAGTATGCCGATCTTTGTGTAGAGTGATTTAGAATTCTCGTGCGGACACTATCACAATGCAGACTGTATTCGATATCTGAAGACAAGAGAACAAGAACAAATGATACAATGAGAACAAAATCACAGCTTAAAGTTTGCCATAGCTCGGCATACATTCACATAGTTTTTATAAGATGAAAATTCAAATGCCATGACATTTCAGAAATTAGATAATTGCAGACCGTCCCTTTTCCCGAGTGCTTCATTCAAAATTATCAAATAAATAAACTGGAAATAAATAAATAACGCTACTTCTCTCCCACTTATGTTTACCTAATGCTTCACGTATTATTAGCCGTTCCGTTCAGCCTTCCAGCCGAGCAACAAGAGCCTAGGAGTAAACGTAAGAAGATGCTTGAACTCTTCAATGATCAGCGTCTTAATATGAGAGTGTTAGTGTCGCATGAAAGCAGAAAGCCCTTTAAAACATTGACCAGATCCATGCTCTCTTTATATTCCGCAAACCGATTACAAAATTGTATCGAGCTCATTAATTTCCTACTTTTCCGGCATGTTTGATGATGATTATAAAAATACTCACTTCACCTTGATTCTCCTCCATCTTCTCATGTGGAGATTCTAAGTAGAAGAATAAAAAGTTAGGACTTCTTATCTTAGTTGTAAACCAGTGTGCCCCCGCATTGTACTAGGTGTGTATTGTATGATATCCATTTCTCCGTCCAACTTCCAAATAAGGACATTAATCATGGAGAAAATGAGAATTTATTCTGTAGCTGCGAAGATATTGTCTTTCTTGCCGAACACTCCTCTGCCTTCTATGGTTTCAAGGGTAGAGTCGCATTTTAACCATATTGATAATATTCACATCTAATGTTCAGGGTACGCAGTTTCATCCTTATCCCGTAAAAAGCGGGCAGAAGCTCCCTTTTTTCTATACATACTTATTCTGTACGTACGATAGTTTGGCTGTACTCCAGCCAGACTGTGGTATATACAAATTATGGTGTGTAATTAAGAAAAGGGTGGATGGGGTACGTACTGCTGTAGGATGCTTCAGTATGGAGTCGGGCTTTCTCGGACTCAGGGACAACTCAGCCCCGTTGCGGGTACGGGGTCGAGTTGTCCTGGCATGATTGAGGGTTAGGGTATAGGGTTAGTGTTAGGTTTTAGGGTTAGTGTTAGGGTTTATGGTTAGGGTTAGGGTTGGGTTAAGCATTAGGGTTAAGGTTAGGGTTAAAATTAAAGGCTGCAAAAACTGACCGTTTTCACAGCGGAGCCGAGTTGTCCCTGGGTCCGGGTTAGCCTGACTCCCTTCAGTATGTGTTCAAACTACAGAATACAAACATTCTTGCTCGGGTCGCTGCGCTCCTTCCTATTAAGAACTGTAATTTTTTTAAAATGCGTCTGGGGAGTGTAAACCTTGATATTGCCTATTTACGTCTATGGTCGCTATGTCCCCTTGAACATTGCCTCCTACCATAAAGGGAAAGAAATCGCCTGTCTTGCACATTAAAACATACTAATCCATAATTGCACAACGATAATGACCTGTGTGTATAGTGGGTAACCACTGCGTACATTAATTTAAACGTTATCATATTTAATAAATTGTTTCTCGATTTATTTTCAACAACGTCAGAGGAACTTCCTTTTTCGATCGAGCGTATTGTGCACATTCATACACACATTTATAATTATATTTTGTTTTTCATTTCAAATTTGTCCATGTTTAGACTTGAATGTTAACCCTTCAACAGGCTCGTAATTAGAACTCGACAAAGTGGGCCTTCAATCTGCACGTTTTAATCATATTGAAATAGATTTAGATATTTCGACAAAGGTCAGCTTAGATGGTGGGTGATTCTATTTGATTGAAAATTTGTATATAAAATAGCAACAGTCTAAGCTGCGATTATAAGCTATCCTTCCTGTTTTTCTGTTGTTATAAATCAATCAAAGTATTCTACCGGATGATTCCTACATCCCTTGCAGTTATATACAAAGTCTCCACATATGGGGAAAAGGCCAGTTTGGAACACTAGAGGCGGATCCAAGATAATTAACAGGAGGAATCACTCTTAATTAGTATTATATTGAAACAAATCATATACAAGTAACAATTTCGATGTGAAAAAATGGCTACCCTTACCCTAACATTTGACAATATTGAGGCTGGATAAAATGCTTTCGGGGCCTCCACCAAGTGGGCAGGGTTACGAACAAGATACCTCATATATTCCACTCCATTCAATTATTTAATTAATTATTGATTAATTTATTCATGTTAATATTTACTAATTTCATTGTTTTTGCTTGTGAGAGAATTTCGGGATTATTTTGTCCCCTCGACGGCCAAATGTCACTGCAGTCGTTAGTTAGAGTTCTTGGAATCACCCCCTGAAAAGGAAGCCTTATGCCCCCCGCCCAACAAAAAAATAAAATAAAAAAATAAAAATGAAGGTAAAGGATGAATGGGGAGAATAGTCAACATCCGCCGGTCAGACATTTCCAAAAAGAAACATATTTTTGTTACAAGGTCCTTCCGCCTGGGAGGAAGTGAAAGTTTTAACCAATCAGGTGCACGTTGGAAATCAAGTGACCAGGCACAAGCCAATAGCATTTTCATGGGGCGTAGGCTTCAAAACTATTTCTAAGAATATTAATCACCCCCAAATCTCTACCTTTAGGTCTATTGGGGGAAATTGCTATAAATTCAACTAGATATTCAATTCCAATTCGGAAGCTGTTCCAATTCGGAGGAGAAACTACCTGTTTGAGTCCTACACAAGGTTTTTCAATTTTTTCGATAGTCAGAATACTTCACTCAGCTCTCGGTGAATACAACATAAGTGTTGCAGACTTGCAGAGGACAACCTGATAGTCCATGGGCCCCGTCTAAGAGTTGATATCAATCGCAACTATGTACATAAGATGCCTTCTCATTTCTCTATGTAACTTATTCTAATTCTATCCCTCTGCGTCTAAGAATAGTTTACTACATCGATGGCGTATAACAAATGCTGTATCATTATTACTTATCAGAATGTATTATTTTCTTTCTCTCTGTACTTTTTTGTTTGGAACAGATATTCCAAGAATGGCTTATACATTTTCCATCAAAGTTGACACAATGGTAGGCCATATTAAGGACTAGACACACGAAACTTTCAAGGACATTTGCATAATGTGAAGTCATCTAAGCGCCATTTTGTGAATTTCTAATATTTCTATAACCAAATGGCATTACAATTTCGTATTTCACAAGATGATACTTCAACTTATTGCGAAGCATAACATGATATTGAACACGCACCGTTGTGCGCGCAAAATTGAAAATTGTCAAAATTAATTTTGAGGAAAAAAGGAAAAACAAAAATTTAATTACATATGAGATTTATAATTTTTTTAAATACGTATTAATTGTCCGAAGACTAAAATATTGTTCGTCATATTTTCAAGAGAACACATGCTAATAAAAGCGAATTTACAGTTCATTAATATGCCACGAGCATCATCCTGTTTTCCATTGTTGACCTTTGCATGAGTGTGGCATGTCCAATCGCGAAGACCTATAACAGACAGTATTGACATGATTGAAGACCTCGTTCCTGAACATATATTTCAATCACCTTCTTGTTGCTATTTATATTTTATGAGTATGTTATTGTATGACAGATTATTGATATTTCGGAAACGATGTGATATAATGCTTCATCTGGTTTTTTTTTCTTCTTCTCCTACGCCTTCATTTTCCTCCTTTCTTCTTCTTCTTCTTCTTCTTCTTCTTCTTCTTCTTCTTCTTCTTCTTCTTCTTTTTCTTCTTCTTCTTTCTCTTTTATTCCTCTTATTTTTAGTTTCATAGTAGTAGAAGTAGTGGTTGTAGTAGTACGAACACCAGTAGCATCTCACTTAATTTTTGCAGGGAAAAAAAATAATCACTGGTGACAAATTAGAAGCACCAATAATAATAATAATAGTTCTTGTATAGCGCATGAAACGTTATGAAATAACATCTTTATACGCTTCCAAAGGGCTTTGGAAATTATTACCCTAGCTTTAGCTCCGGCAGCCTTATAAGCGCACAGGCATTTCAAGGAAAATTCCTACCATGTACCCATTTACCTCACCTGGGTTGAGTGTGGTAAATGTAGATCAATGTCTTGCCAAAGGACATTAGTGCCGCGGCAGGACTCGAACCGCGGACCTTGTGAGCGACAGTCCGGTGACGTATCCACTCGACCACAACCCCAATGCAAATGTTGTATTCAGTAAGTGACATAACGCTTTTAATGGCAGCAGACCTATTCAACAAGTTCACCTGTCATTCAACTATTATAACCCTTATTTCTTACCACTCAGTGATACCCCAGTCACATCAACGAGGCCGACATCAGACTGACAACATACCGATCAAGCCATTGCATTGACTCGAATGGCAAAGAATCGGTCGTGTGAAATGGATGTGGAGTCGGTATGGCGGGGTGACCTGCATTATCTAGGCAATAATTTGTACATGACTTAACCCTACATTTATTTCAGTCCATGTTTGTACAGAATGACAAAAAATTGTATTAATATGTATTCTCCATCTGGACACATTCACTCAATCAAAATTCCTTTCGACATGATACGAAAAAGAGAGGGGGATACATCATAAGCATGCAGCATTGGAAGAAAACAACCTACAAAATTACGAGCTATTTTGCATTGTTCTTTGTTTTAAGTACAGAAGGCGATTCAGGGTCGGTCGACTTGGTGTCGCCTGATCCAAAATCGACTTTCATGTAGGTATTCCCATTGCTGAATATGTACACATATTTATATATGTAAAGAGAGAGAGAGAGAGAGCGAGAGAGAGAGATAGAGAGAGAGAGAGAAAGTGAGAGAGAAAGTGAGAGAGAAAGGGGGTACAAAATTCGAAAATGAGTTTCTCCCAGGGGCCGGAGCGAGGGGAGGGATCAAATTAGAATTGTCATGCTTCTTGAAAATGTGATGCCATCCCTTCAGTGGCAGATTCAGGATTTTCGATGTAATAAAAGGGGTATAACGTAGCGTAGCTGATATCAACC